CACGTAGTCGAGTTCGTAGTGGGGATCGCTTGAGCCGTGAGCGCGCTTCAATGCAACGTTCGTTACAGGCAACTCCGGCATGTATTGTGTAAAATTTAAATTCATAGTGTACAAATAATACCATTAAACCAATTCCTTAACCCCTATCCCAGTATGTTTCTGTGTTTGAAGAAGTTTCACTTCAGTAGCGTGTTGTATAATTACACGTTGTATTTTTTTATATACCACACCCCAAAACTTCTTGCCCCCTCCTTCAGTACATGGACTGAATCTGGTTGGTCACGCTTGATTTCTACCATTTGAATTTTTTTTTTGCAAAGTTTAAAATTACGAATTATAATTAACTTAAGAATCAGTGCGACATATACAGTTGATGTTATAAAATTCCGCATGTTATGTACTGACGAATTGATAGCACAAATGCAATTTAAAGTTATTGAGGAGCGTTGCGTTTTCTTCAAAAGATTTGAGAATTAGTTGCGATAATCCTTCCTTCACAACCAATTTGGACATTACTTGAAAAATATCTTTCTGTGGGCTATGTTTTCATCACATTAGGTACCCACACACGTTTCTGGAGACCAAAAAGTAAATTTCATATGCGCCAAAGAAAACTTTCCGTCAGTTTCATCATGCACATTATATTATGCGATGCGACTTTTGCTTCCACGAATAAAATTAAAATAAAATGAAAACGCTCACAGCTTCTTGTTCACGGTCAACACTTTTGATTTATGGTAGGGTTGCATGTAAGCCGACAGTATCTGTCACTCAATCAGACATGTCATAAAAAAAAGGCTGAAACGCCGTATGGGCGGATCAACAACAGCTTTTTGATGCCAACAGTCACACACTAGACCGACTTGTAGACTTTTAACTATGATATGATAGAAAACTGTTACCAAAGTAGGCACCTAATCATGTCTGCAAACAAAACTTTTTTTTTTGAAGTGCTATACACCTGCACAGTGAGTATAGATACTGGGTGTTTTAAAATCTGTTAATTTTATGACAGAACGGTAGAATCAAGCTGTCTCCTGTGTTTCTTTTACTATTGTTTTCTTCGTTTTACCTCGTTTTCTTCACGTAAGTTTTGAATTATCACCATATCATCATCATCATCATCATTATAATCATCATCATCATCATGGAATCGTCAATCCTTGCACACGTACCCCCGCTCTTTCCTATCATTAACTAATCCTCCCATATCCTCTATTATTTATGAACAGTAATCTAATTTAGGTTTACCCCTACTCCCCTTAACTCCTGTTTCTAATACGTCTCTAACCAGCCATTCATGCCTGAAAAGGTTTTCTACCAACCTATCTTGCCTATTTTTTATTAACTTTCATAGTGACCTCTGTTCTCCGTTCTCCTATTCTTTCTAATACCTCTTCATTTCTAACCTTGTCTATCCACGATATTCATTCGTCTGTAACGTCCACGTTTTGCTCCCGGAAAGAGTCGTGCTGCAGATGTATACCTTTAACAATCTTTTTCGAATTAACTGCTCGCGAGCACAGAAGTGATTTCTTTTTGTTAAAAGCGTTTCAATTCTGCGCTATCCTTTGTTTTACATCTTCACCGCTCCTTTCATCCTGAATCATCTGACTTTCTACATATCGAAACTCAGTGACTTCTAATTTTTCGTCTCTTCAAAAATAAATTCATTGGATTACTTGCTAACCAACAACTATATATATAAAAATAAGTTTATAGTGTAAATAAAGCAAACCTTCTTAAACTTCAATTGCAGTAACGTAATCACTTTCACATTAACCCACATAGTAATAATGTTCGTATACAAATTATCATATAAGTTTTCAACAAACATTTGTTTATGATTTGTTTGCACCATTTACTTAATTGTACAAGGAATTTGTGTGAGTTTTACTCTGAAGTTATCCTACATACTGTTATTTTTTAAAGATAAAATAAGTTACGGAAATACCAGATTTAGAACACAAACAAACTGAAATAACATGCAATTCTTTTGAATATATATGTTTTTAGTTTATTTTATTTAATTATAAATAAAACTAACAAACGCAGGCAAGCCACTGAACAATATAGTTTTTTAAACTAAAACTCAACTAATAAAATACCTCCCTTTAACAGTTTAATTATATAAATGTCAACAGAGGTTAGTCTGTTAAAAATAGTTTTGTGCGTGGCATTATGGCGGTTGGAGTCCGCCATGTTGATCATATCTGGACGTCACCTAACCTAAATATGTATATTATCGAACAATACCTTATAAGAATTGTCCTACTTTAGTTTCACTACAGTAGTAAAGCAAAATTAACTATCTAATTTAAAATTTCGAAGCCCACCGGTTATAGGTAGGTACATATGTTTTTAAAAAGTTACATAATAAATATGTCACTTGGATGAATTAATTATAATGTAAAAGGACAATCTTGTGGACTACTCGAAGCTTCGAGTTAAATTATTATTGACAAAATGCTAGGCAATATCGCGGTTATTAAGTTTTGTACTTATCGAGTTTATGTAATGAACTTACAGATCCGCTTATTTGTCAACACAATAAAAGTTGTGTATTTAAAATTACAAAGCGACAATGAAAAACTAAATTATAATTGTAAATTATTTTTGTGTAACAAAGTACTGTTGCCGTTTTTGTAACTACATACTTACCTATGCATATAAACAGTGTAGTTTATCATATCTACCTGTACAATGAATATACAATAAAAAAGGTACTAATTAAATAAGTACTTTATAATAAGATGTGTGTTAGTTAGCGTTTACTAATGTTAATATTTACATATAAATTGTTTCGCTACAGAGAAAGTGAATTAAAATGATAGAAATTTGGTAATTATCTAAAGAACATCGACCACCCCCTATGAACTTTTGGGTTATGGTGTGTTAAGTGTTTCCTCAGTGACATATATACGTTTAAATAAAGGGTAATTATCTAAAAAAACATCGCCTACCCTTTATTTGGTGGGTGGTGTATTGTTTATATATGTTAAATAAAATTTATAGTTATGTTAATACAAACATATAATAAGGCATATAATATATAGAATTTTTATTTTTAGACCTTATAATAAATACGTAAGAATAAAGTATCTTTTAAATACTGAAAGTGTATCGTTTTACCTATGAATTCGTTCCTGAGCCTGGTTCTGTCAACAACCCTCGGAGTGGAAATGATAAGGCAGTTGATAAAAGCGACCAGAGCTGTCTGGTAATCTACAGCTGTTGTTCGGTCTAATTCTTTCACGATAAAACTGAAACGGTACCTTTCGCCTTTAGATTTCTGAAACAAAATAAAAGAAAGATAACAAACTTCTTTGGAGAAACAATATTTGTTTTTACTAAAAAATTATTATAGAAAATGTCGATTTTAAATTAAAAAAGTAAAGAGAATCTTTTTGGTAGCATTAGATTCCATTAACAAAATTGTTTCGTCCGTTTGTGTTTTATCTTCAGAAATAAATTTCCACTTATGAATTTCGATATTAATAGTCTTATAAATAAATAATAGCATTGATTATATACAAGGTTATTCATGTCATAAGGCACGAAAGAGTAGGGCCATGTTCTTAGATTTAGATTAAAAAGATTTGTTGAGAGGGTGGATAGAGATTCATAAGTGGTACATTTTAAAATTATTTATGATTTTTTTTTCTCTAAAACAAAAATTCTGGTATGCAAGGGAAAGAAAAGTAGGGAAAGAGCGAATATATAGATAGGAGACAAAATATTAGAAGAAGGGACTAATTTTAGGTATCTAAGAAGTCAGATAATTCAGGACTGAAGGATTTGTATGGATATAAAGCAAAGGATAGCGCAGGGTCGAGCCGCCTTCAATAAAAACAAGTCACGTTTTTGCTCATGAACGATTAATTTAGAAATTCGTAAATGATTGTTAAAGATATATGTTTGGAATGCAGCTCGGTAAGGGTGCGAAACTTGGACGGTAGGCGCAGCGGAAAAGAAAAGTTAGAAGCGTTCGAAATGCGGTGTTACCGACGAATGATGAGGATACCGTGGATAAAGATAGAAGTCAATAAGAAAAAGGCGAGATAGGTTGGTAGGACACCTTTTCAGGCATGAAGGTCTAGTCAGAGACATATTAGAGGCAGAAACAGGAGTTAAGAGCAGTAGAGGTAGACCTAGATTAGATTACTGTTCGCAAATAGTTAAGAATGTGGGATATTCTAGTTTTAAGGAAATGCGAAGATTAGCTTAGGATAGGAAGGAGTAGAGGTGCGTGTCCAAGAACTTAGAACCTTATGATGATGATAATGATGTAAGAACTATTTGTATAGCTCACAAATCTGAGTTGGCAAATAAATAAAAGTATATATTATTTGAAATATTGTCCAGATGTGGTATTTGTTACACAAATAAAAATTCATAAGGATATACCTATTCAAAGCATTTACATTTACATGGAGATCAAAATTACTTCGTATATTTCTAGTATAGAAAAGATTTATAAGTGTTGAATATTCATTAAAAATTATTGATTTCTTTAATAAAATGATTCTATCGTATAAAAAGGACGTATAAAATGTATCGATCCATTTACGTTATTATTCAAGGTGAAAATACAGTATAGATGAAAAACGTAGTTATAGGTACTCAATTAGGAATATATTTATAATTTTTCAATATGGCGAGTAATTATCAAGTAAATAGCAATTCAAAATTAAAATAATTAAGTAGCTTTCTTTTCTGCTACCACTGGTTTACAGATTTGTTTCAAATGAAGCACAAACGAAAACCTAAATGTAATATTGATTGCTCATTTAATTAGTTACTAACTGCATAATACAGATATCATGTTATCAATGGAGAAGTGCAAAATAGTTTTTTTAAAGTATTTAAATACAAAATGCAAATACTTTTTTGATTTGTTGTTCCAAATGTAAAATACAAAATAGATTTCACTTTTGTATTTTAAATGCTAAATGCAAAATACGTAGCTTCAAAATACTTTCTGGTAGTAGGTACCTATTTAATTTTCTACATATACTTAAGTATAAAATATTTCTTTAAGAAAACCTTGCAGGCATTTTCTCATTTTTTAAATATTGAGGTTTTTCTAGGCTAATAGTGGCGTTTGCGCTACATCACCAGCTGCGAAGATTAAGTATGATTCATATTTTTTTGTTTGAAGTGATTGAGATATGCTTTATCTATCTTTATGTTATAGTTTCTTCAGTGCAGCAACAAATAATACTCCTATATGCTTCCCTATTTCTCATTGTTTCACGTTTTAATTGGAAAAAAGACACTGATGCCAAAATAGTTTGTTTAGCGCGAAAGATCAGAGCCAAAATAGGGTTGCAAATAATTTTATCAACATCAATCATTTTATATCAAAATATTTACAACCCCATTTTGTTTCCTATCGTTTACACATAGTAATAAGAGAAATAATTAGAATCCGTAGTTTCTTTACCTTTGGATTGATCTAATAAGTGAAGTTTTTCGAATCGTTTCCTAAGAATTTTGGATTATACGCATTTATTAGACACTACAATATCTTGTATTTTTCAGTTTTACACAGCTGACACATATCAATTCGATATTGTTTTGTGCGCTATTTTGTCGTAATTCTACTAAAGGTACGATAAGTGGTGATTCGGCAGGCGCTGATATCAATTTGAAACCTCAAAATTCCATGGACCATGACATTGAACCCGAAAAGCAATATCGATCCAATATTTTAGATTATTCATTTTTTTTTTGGCTCTCTTCAGTTAAAGAATTAGAAACACTCATGCAATGTCTCTTTGTCCCCCTTTTAAGCTTATAATGCATTCAATGGCCAATGTGAGCAACTTTCATTCATCATTTTATATAATGTTTGATCGATGTTACTAGCAAAACATATAACAGCAAAAATGCATTTTGCATTTTACAAATAGAAAATACGTTTGGAAAAGTATTTTGAATAAAATACACAATGCATTTCTCAAAAAAGTATTTAAATGGAAGATAAAAATAGGTATTTTTTTGTATTTGCATTTTAAATGCAAGTATTTTATAATAAATAAATCACGATTCAGGTTATCAAAATGGCTATAAAAAGAAGAAGTTCAGAATTCTTTGATGATTTCCGATTCGAACATACCCCTTCATATTGCAATGTCTCATGAAATTTTGCTTTTTATGAGATATAAAGAATTATTATAATGCAGTAAGTATACGTATTTTAATATCAGTGTTTATGGGCCTTGAAGAAATAAAAAACCATTAATTCCGAGAAATCAAGACGGACTGTAGGTATGCTTTTTTGACGTGACAACGTCTTATAATTCGATGGAGCCGGCTGCACGCACGAAAAAACATGACTCATGCGGCGTTACCTCGCTCTGAGGCGTTCCATTTAAGGCTTGAAGTGCAAGCGAGAGCGCGGAACGAGCGACAAAGAGGCACAATCGGCCTCCGCGTTCGGCAGCGTTCGACATCTGTCTCTCTCCTACTTGAGTGAGCGATGGGTCCGCGTGGACAGCTGCTATACAATAATACATTTCCATTTACCTCCTTCTCTATATCCATACAAAATATATCATACAAATAAAATTAAAATTTTCTTCTGAAAAATGAAACCATTCCATCAGTATTTTCTTATGACGTTGTCACGTTCAACTATCGTCAGTAAACCGACTTTACAGACAACCGATTTTTTTGTGTGAATAAGGGGTGTTCGTTATTCTTCATATCCCCCTGCTGGTGTGAGCTTTACTGTCACCGTGTATTTAACCATAGCAAATTTCAAAAAGCGCCCGTAGCAAATAGCACAATTCAATTGTAAGTAATTTATAGTTTTGTATGATTATGATTGCATTAAACGTAACTGTGTGTACATAATTTACGATGACATGTGTAACAGCCTTAATGGTATTAAATTAAATTAACGTAGAAAATCTAACACTCATTATACATATATTCCCAGGACATTTATTCGGAATGATGATTCGGTTGTTGAACTCCTTTACATGTAAATATTTTGATATTTGAACCTTTAAACGGTCCGACTTATCTCCGCAAATTATAAAACAGTCTAAAATACGAAGAACCTTATCAAAACTGTGCAAACTAACTGATACAAATAACGAAATAACGGTCCCCATTCCTAATGATTATTTTGTTTTGAAAATTACAAAATATAGTAAATTCTGTTACAACAAATGTTTCAGGGGATGCAAATTTTTGTTCGTTATTATGTCGCCTTTAATAAAAAGAAGTCACTTCTATGCTCGCGAATGGTTTATTTAGAAATTCGAAAAAGGTTGTTAAAGGTGTATGTTTAGAATGCGGCGTTGTACGGGTGCGAAACATGGACAGTGGGCGCGGCGTAAAAAACAGGTTAGACGCCTTCGAAATGTGGTGTTATAAGCGAATGATGAGGATAACGTGAGTAGAAAAGGTTAGAAATGAAGAGGTATTAGAAAGAATAGGAGAACAGGAGAACTATGGAAATCAATAAAAAATAGGCGAGATAGGTTGGTAGGACACCTTCTCAGGCATGAAGGTGTAGTCAGACACATATTAGAGGCAGAAGCAGGAGTTAGGAGGGGTAGAGGTAGACCTAGGTTAGATTACTGTTCACAAATAGTTAAGGATGTGGGTTGTTCTAGTTTTAGAGAAATGCGAAATTTAGCTCAAGATAAGAAAGAGTGGAGGTACGTGTCCAACCAGTCTTAGGACTGACGACCTTATGATAATGATGATTATATCCGTAAGTAAAAGTTTTGCTAAAGTTGAATTCTCAATAAATTTCTTGTTTTTTTACAAACGATTTTTTTGTACAATGAGGTAAATATTTAGCAAAATTAAATTGCATCATCTACCAACGAAAGATTGGCTAAATTGTTTATAAATGCAGGGGAAAACAATGGATAAAACTCAAACATTACAAGTTAATAATTCAATTGCAACTTCTGAAGAACCATATACGTATGTAAAGACAATGGTCCCACACTTATTATAATACAGGTTTACGATTAGTGCTACTTTTGAAACGTTTAAGACAATTGCTTAGGCTTATTTGTATTCACACGCAAACACATGTAGGAAATTAATGTATATACAGGGTGGTCCGGAACTGCCTATTTCCGTCCCTATTTGGTACAAATATCGGTAATGTTGATAGAAAGTTTCTAGTGGGTGAACCAAATTAGAAGAAAAGGTAAGTACTTAAAATTATTGAGTATACGTCATCAACATGGTATGTATGAATCAATTAGCAACAGCAGATTAAACTTAGATAGAGAAATAAGAATAGAGCGCCCCATAAATCTGCTAACCGAGTCAAAAGAGAGAAAACTGCTGAAAGAACCCCTTGCTGATATATATACATACATAATTAGTAACGATATTTCAAACTGGGAAGTGCGCATGCGCAACAAGGTGCTCCTGGACATCGCTGTGTCTTACTCCAGGTGATATAAGTAAAGTATATACTGAAATGGGGCTGGTGGGTTCTTTTCTTATATTTCTATGAAAATTATATTGTTTTTTTCCAGAGTGGCAGTAAAATAATTAAACAACTTTACGTTTTTGTTACGTTTCGGTTTATTCAACCATCTTCAGACTTCTATGAGAATATATGATACAAGCTAGTCTCAAGAATTATGAATTACATCATTTTACATGTAATACATTGAGAAGAATGTTTGTCGTAACTAGTGTATATATTACATAACTTACATATTATCCACCCCAAATGATGGTTGTAACATGAGACAGTAACAAATATAGTAGAATATGTGTTATACCTATGTCATATTTTACTCTCTTTATTTTCAAAGCACAGTTATCGTTTATTACATTTTTAAAAGACTTAATGGTAAACGAATTTATAATTTTTTTTTTTGCATATAGTACTTCTTTGTTCTGTAATATTCTGTGACATTTCGAATTTGTCTATTTAGTATATTGAGCAATGAAATTTTGAATTATTATAACCCATAAATTACGACACAACAAACTTCTCTTTTGAAACTATTCTGTGGGAGACGTTACCGTAAAGAAGAACAATTTTATGATGTGATTTATAAATTAATACATATTTGACCGACTTATACTTTCAGTCAATAAATATATCATCAGTTATTTAGTTAAAGAAAATTTTGAGAATTAAAACATCGCTTTCTAATTTTATTTGGCTAAAAATAACATTGCTATTGGAAGTTCCTGTACGGAAAGATAAAGCAAGAAAACTTACTCGGCAGTAGTCCAAAGTATCCAAAGCCCTAGCGTGTCCTTCTTGNTACAGAGTATTCAATTTTTAGTAAATATCTTCATTAATGTTTCATTTATAAATAATAAGTCCTTTTTATCTAATTTTTGTTTTATATCTAATTAAATCATCGTTCAATTCATAAAATACAAATTCCTTATGCGTACGTGCGTCCCATCATAATTAGTGTCAAACTACTGTTAATCAAACATTTGCATTCTTTTTATTTCAGTTATACAGTACAAGCGTCAGAAATTAAGTACCAATATGAATATTTACATATTAAAACCAATTGGGAGCTTACATGGCATCTACCAGATTCACAGTGTATGTTAACCGGTTCTTCTTCAAATCCTAATTTTAGAATTTAGGGCTTAAACTTAATAAATATATATTGCGCCTACAACTATTCCTGTGAGATATTTGCTTCGCGTTCTTGTCATTTTCAATTTTTGAACGTAAACAGACTCTAACTTTCAATACACTAGTTCGATTCCAGGTCTACCTGCCTTAGTCCAAGCTTTTCTGTACTTTCTTAGACCATTTATTAGACAAATGCTGAAGCAATAATACAGGGTTTGTCCGGAAAGTAATAGGACTGATTTCCTTCCGCCGCGACTGTACTTCGGAGCGTGCGCGCACCGACTGGATTGCGCAATTCATGTTACTCGTAGTTCGCTGTTACTTTCTGAAGTTAACATAAGTAAGTACAAATGTTACCAAAGTCCCTGACCTAGAAATTTTATAAATTGGTAAATTATTCCCATATGCCAACAAATATCAACGTCGAATAGTAAATCGGAATTAAAAAAAACTTTGGAAGTGCACAAAAAAAATTGATACGAGAAAAAGTATTTCCCAAAGCATTTTGGAACTATATTTTTGGCTTAACATAAAGAAAAAACTAATAATTAAATTTTCAAGTTCATTGCTATTGTTTTCGTTGGATCCAGATACGTGACTATTACCTACAAATCACAATTATGTACATATCTGACGGGATCATGCATCATCGTCATCGGAGTTAACACTTAACATTAAAGTGTGTACATTACCTTTTAATACAACGTCGATTTACAAAACTTATTTGTTTTGTGTTGTAAACAGTGCAACGCAACAAGCTGCAGAGGCTGCGTTCTAATAAATATTTAACAGAATCTTATTTTTAGAGAATTAAAACATCGCTTTCTAATTTTATTTGGCTAAAAATAACATTGCTATTGGAAGTTCCTGTACGGAAAGATAAAGCAAGAAAACTTACTCGGCAGTAGTCCAAAGTATCCAAAGCCCTAGCGTGTCCTTCTTGATTATGGACACAAAGAGCTGAAAGTAGTTCGATTACTTGTTTTTTAACAGTGACATTGCCGGAATCTAAGGCAGCTGCGAGTTTTCCGATGTACTCCGGATTTTCGACAATGAAATCTAGACCGAGTCGAGAATCCATGGCACTTACCACCACTGGACTTCCTGAAACAAAAAATACACTTTAAGATACATTGGTTACAATAAAACACGTCAAATTGGGTTTTGATAAAATTTTCGAAATGCGTAATCGAAAGAGATGATACATAATTTTGGAGCGAAGAGCGAAAGAGTGTCGTAAAGTGACATGTGTTTTGACGAAAATATATTACTTAGAGACCGAAGGAAATGATTCATAATTTCAAGTCCTTTTTAATTTATTTTCAAATTTGGACGCGCAAAATTTCGTCCTACAGTTGCGGAATGCGAATTTAAGGTGATGCAAACTATGCAGTCTGCATATTGTCCCCGATTCATGGAAAACCGGCATGTGACCCCGCTATTTAGGAATTTTATAATTTCCTTTTTATTTTAAAATACATAAAAGTAAAACGAAAATACCGATGTGTAGGGGAAGAAAAAGTAGGGAAAGTGCGAATATAGAAATAGGAGACGAAAAATTAGAAGATTTTCGATACCTAGGAAGTCAGGTAACTCAGGATGGAAGTAGCAGTAGAGATATACATATAACAGACAGACTCGAGTAACTGCTATGCTCCCGAACGGTTAATTTAGAAATTTGAAAAGGAGTGCGGCGCTGTATGGGTGCGAAACAGACGGAGAGCGCGGTGGAAAATAACAGATTAGAAGCGTTTGAAATGTGGTGTTACAAGCGATTGATGAGGATACCGTGGAAAGAGAATTTTAGAAATGAAAAAGTATTACAAAGAATAGGAGAAGAGGGGATTATGTAAGTCAATAAGAAATAGGCGAGTTAGGTTAGTAGGACACCTTTTTAGGCATGAAGGTCTAGTGAGAGACATATTAGAGGCAGAAATTGGAGTTAAGAGGAGTAGAGGTAGACCTAGATTAGATTACTGTTCATAATTAGTTAAAGATAGTTTTAGGGAAATGCGAAGATAAGCTTAGGATAGGAAAAAGTGGAGGTGCGTGTCCAACCAGTCTTAGACCTGACGACCTTATGATGATGACAAACTAAACCGTTACTTTTTGATAGTAAACAACGCCGTATTTTTTTTATATTAACGGTCATTGGAACGAAGTTGAGTACATAGCGTGCAACTCTTAAGATTAACGACATCGCCAAGTGTTTAAACAGCCAGCCACAGACGACGTCATCATTTCCGCGAAAGTAGTTAAAGGTTATTATGCAAATCGATGCAATTTAATATACTTACACTTAAAACAGAGGGCATATAGAAATTTTGTTTGTGTGTGCGATTGTATAATTTCCCATTTACATGTAAGGCAAAGGCATATAATGGGACGGTTACCAAACGTCCTTGAACAGGCAAAACGTTGTGGGAGTTAGAAAACTGTTGTATAATTGTTTATTGATTAAAAATTATCCATTAATTGTCGATATTCTTCTTTAAATTCTATTTACGCGTCGCGCATCGTGCCAGCGCTGGATTTAATTGCCCATGGGTACAAATAAGGTGAAGCCCCTTCTCCGCTATTAGACTGTCTGGTACTGATTTGGAAAATCCCGATTACTGGGTAATGAATAGTCCCAGATTTTTCCGCGCTATATTAGCCGTTCCGAAAAAAGTTTTCCCGATATTTTCCAATATGTTTTATCGGTTTCTTCGCGGATTTGGTTTCTTCTTTGCCTCTGAAGGCCTAACCTTGGGTGAATATTGAGCAGTTGGTGAGATACTATTAGGGCAGGTGAATAAGGGAGGAATTAATGTAAGATTAATATTAAAGTAAGACACTGGGTCCAACTAGGTTATTGGGGGAATAAAAAAAATCGGTTGTCTGTAAAGTCGGTTTACTGATGATAGTTGAACGTGACAACGTCATAAGAAAATACTGATGGAATGGTTTCATTTTTCAAAAGAAAATTTTAATTTTATTTGTTTGATAGATATTTTGTATGGATATAGAGAAGGAGGTAAATGGAAATGTATTATTGTATAGCAGCTGTCCACGCGGACGCATCGCTCACTCAAGTAGGAGAGAGACAGATGTCGAACGCTGCCGAACGCGGAGGCCGATTGTGCCTCTTTGTCGCTCGTTCCGCGCTCTCGCTTGCACTTCAAGCCTTAAATGGAACGCCTCAGAGCGAGGTAACGCCGCATGAGTCATGTTTTTTCGTGCGTGCAGCCGGCTCCATCGAATTATAAGACGTTGTCACGTCAAAAAAAGATTATGTTTAAGCAAAGAGTCCTGGGCACCGGCCCTAAACACCCCTGTATAAATACGACCCTATATAGCTCCAATAAACAAATAATAAATTATATTACCATTGTCTCTTCATTAGAAACAGAAATATAGACATTATGCTGGCGCAATTCATGTTACTCGTAGTTCGCTGTTACTTTCTGAAGTTAACATAAGTAAGTACAAATGTTACCAAAGTCCCTGACCTAGAAATTTTATAAATTGGTAAATTATTCCCATATGCCAACAAATATCAACGTCGAATAGTAAATCGGAATTAAAAAAAACTTTGGAAGTGCACAAAAAAAATTGATACGAGAAAAAGTATTTCCCAAAGCATTTTGGAACTATATTTTTGGCTTAACATAAAGAAAAAACTAATAATTAAATTTTCAAGTTCATTGCTATTGTTTTCGTTGGATCCAGATACGTGACTATTACCTACAAATCACAATTATGTACATATCTGACGGGATCATGCATCATCGTCATCGGAGTTAACACTTAACATTAAAGTGTGTACATTACCTTTTAATACAACGTCGATTTACAAAACTTATTTGTTTTGTGTTGTAAACAGTGCAACGCAACAAGCTGCAGAGGCTGCGTTCTAATAAATATTTAACAGAATCTTATTTTTAGCGTAATAACGAGAGAAAATATTTAAATCATTTGTATGTTCTAGAAAAAAAGGAAACATAGAAGTCCAGAAGAAAATTTATTGACTGTAAAAAATTATATTTTTATGAAGAAGGAAAACAAAGCAACTAAAACAGAAAATATTTTTAGAGAGTTTTATTACATAAGTTTATTCTTTATTTACTATTACAAATCAACCTGGTGGAGCTAACACAATATATATCAAAGAAAAACCCAACTGCAACGTCAATAGCGAAAAATATATTCATGGAAAACAAAAAAGATCCTTACTCTGATGGCTCCAACACCGAAAAGGCAACAGGATGTGCTGTGCTACTAAAAGAAAAACAAAATTACCAGGTATGTGCGCTACATTGAAGCCTATGCCATTCAGAAAGCTACAGAATTAATAAACTCACAAAATATAGAATCTTCTCTAATTCTGACAGATCTCTAGGTGTACTTAAAACCCTGCAGAATCCTATACAAACCAATCAAATGATAAAAAACGTCGCCCACCAAATAATAGAAGCTGATGCCCATGGAAAGGAAATTATCCTAGCATGGATAATCATCTCAATCTAGCATCCAGGAAAATGACAAAGTAGATGAAAATAAGGCGCTAGCCGTTCCATATATCCTGAAATAGTTCCCCTAACGGCATTCAGGGAAATGACAAAACAAATCAAGAAGTAACGCGCTGTTAAGACAACAGGTAAAAGTTGGTCTGTGTTCTGTCGGAGCTGTCTGCGGCGCGCTGATGAGATCCGAAAATATCGAAATCGCGATCCGCGTCTGGCAGTTTCGACAGAATACAGACCACTTCGAATTATTTTATTCGATTATGGTAACGTGCCTATCACGTTGAGGTTAGCTACGCCGGGATTCGTTTCAGCAAGTAGATATCCATATATTTAAATGGACCTTGTTGGAGCATACGTAATCCTAAAATGTAGCATCGTACTACAGATGGCGTTTACCGCGCCATTTGTGGTATTTTCTAAAACGCGCTGTTAAGACAGCAGGTAAAAGTTGGTCTGTGTTCTGTCGGAGCTGCCTGCGACGCGCTGATGAGATCCAAAAAGATCGAAATCGCGATCCGCGTCTGGCAGTTTCGACAGAATACAGACCACTTCGAATTATTTTATTCGATTATGGTAACGTGCCTATCACGTTGAGGTTAGCTACGCCGGGATTCGTTTCAGCAAGTAGATATCCACATATATTTATATGGACCTTGTTGGAGCATACGTAATCCTAAAATGTAGCATCATACTACAGATGGCGTTCACCGCGCCATTTGTGGTATTTTCTAAAACGCACTGTTAAGACAGCAGGTAAAAGTTGCTCTGTGTTCTGTTGGAGCTGTCTGCGGCGCGCTGATGAGATCCAAAAGGATCGAAATCGCGATCCGCGTCTGGCAGTTTCGACAGAACAGACCACTTTTTATTTTATAAGAAGTAAGTCTCTAGGAAATGGAAAACATCTGACTAGAAAATCCCCCCAAAACATATCTTCGAAAATTTTCCAAATTTAAATCTCAAACGTAGAGGTAATATATGTTTTGTTCTCTTTCAATTATTTAGAATGCGCTTTTCGCTAAATCCGTTTTTAAGGGCATATCCTTACGTTCGGTTGTCAACTCGCCACTAGTATATATAACAGAGATTACATGAAGTTAAATATCTCATTAGGTACATGCAATGAGAACAATGAAAGAAATATTGTATCAGTATTTATGAAATTAAACTGTTTCATTTAGCAAATTAAACGCTCGCTTTTTAGAATTGTTTTTACTTCAGTTTATTTTAGACTAAAAGCGTCTTCAGTGTCATTGTATCTTTTCTAATAAGTTTTTTCTACTTGCGAAATGGTGCTCTTGACATTAAAAGTTACACACACATAATGGACACTACTAAATTTTATGGTAGTAGTCATGAATTTCTAGCAAATCCACCCAAGCAAATCGATGAGAAGACAATGTAGGAAGGTAGCTTATTATTGCTGAGGTGTTTCAGCAACACGCGGTGAAATAATGTCATCATCCAGATCTTAAAGACATCTGTTGAATCATTCTAGGTATATTTTAGAGAGATAAACACCTAAATTTGCATGCCTACGGAATATTATAAATTATGAGAATGCTTACGGTTTTAGTTTGACATACAGGGTGACTCATT